TTGACCCACCCCCCCCCCCCCCGAATTCATGCAGATGATGTGAATCCACAGATCAATAGCACTCAAATTAAGCAGTACCGTTCTGTCTGGCAGAGCTGCTCCCTTTCCTTCGTCCTGTCTCTCCCCTTTATCAGGCAGAACACAAATTCTCTGTAGCGGTTGGCTCTGTACTGTGTGCAGGTGGAAGGGAAACTGGGGATTTGCCTCAATCTGCATGAAGATTGCAGCTAAGATCTGTTATCATTTAGGCTTACTAACCAACATAAAACAGAACATGTGAGCTGAGCGAGATGAGAATCTGTAGAAATGAGATTGCGTGGCTCAGTGTTCCCTGTTCTGGCATTTTTTTTTTTTTTTTTTCTGTACAAATCTGGTTAGATTTTTTACTTCCAGCCTCCCTGGCTGCTGTGTAGATTCAGACGGTCCAAGCAAAATCTTTCTGCCTTGCGCATGATCAGTGTAGCTGGATTCAGTTTCACTGGTGATGAGTGGGACAGAAGGAACCAGTTAGCACTGAACAGGTTAAAAAATAGTACAAGAAAAAAATTGTGTGTGCACAGAAGTACTGTGTTACTTAACTGGCACTCTTAAAGATGGCTTTTAGGTATCACTTGCCAAATTAGTGTTTCAAATCTACTGCATGTTTCTTGTGACTGCACTGAGTATTGGATTTGTCCAAGAGTTAGACCTTGAATCTTGGCTCCTTTTGGTGTCAGTGGAGGAAGATGTACATTTCTAGATACCCTGCCTGATCAGTGACAGCACATAACTTGCCAAACTTCTATGCAGCTGAAGTTAGGTGAGGTGGATTCCACATTATGCAATCCTAACCACATCTTTTTGTTATTACCCCCTATGGTGTCTAGCCCTGTTCTATCATGATTTCCCATCTATTGGGGATGGTTTGGGTTTTGCACATGTGGTGCTAGAAGGACTGACATTTGGTCCATGACAACTTGCAGACTGCCACTGATTTTTGAATTTTACATTTGCATGTGATGCCTCAAATGTGCACTTAAAAATGTTAAAACTTGTCCTAATGGCTCACACACCAAACCTTTAAAACAAAATCAAAAAAACCTTGCTGTAATTTGTGTAAGCCATCACTACAGTTCAGGTTGCCAAAAGAGGAAAGAATATAGAGATACTTGACTTTTAAATAAGTTTTGAGCCATAGTCTGAAAAACAGTAGCATGGAAATATACTAAAATGTAATCTTAATAGTTGGGAGAAGTTTCTTTTTGAGACAGACAGTCCTATTGCAAAAATTCAGTATTTCTCGACTCTTCTTGTTGTATCAATGCCTATTTTGAGCATTCCCTTGATGTCAAAGTAGATAACTGATCAAAAGAATAGTTATAGTATGATAAATTAGGATATTGTTTAAGGCTTATAAATTTTCAGATGATTATAAGCGCAGTAGGCTCCATTATAGTTTGAGAGTGTAGTAAAACCTGTAATATATGTTGTACCTGCACACAATGTTCTTTTTTTGCTTTATAAAAGCTATTCTGGGTACACTGCAACTTCCATATGAAATGAGTACTTCTGTAGTATATGAAGATGCGTATTCTGATTGTCCCAATTGTGCAATATGCCCTAAAAAATGTGCTAAACATTAATATTATTTTGCAAGCTAAGATTAAAAGCCATTAAACATTATTTTATTATCTGCAGGATTTTGGAAGTTGTGTTTTACCCATGCCCAACACCTGTACCTTTGTCTAACTACACTTTGGTTTTCATCTTTATTTGGAATTGCAACTTATTGCTTTGGGGGATGGGAAGCACATGCTATTTCAGTTTGTGAATATTTTGTGTCTGTGCCTCTTCTGCTAGTGTTAAAGAGGATAACACAGATAACGAGCAGGAGAAGAGAGATGAAAAAGGCACTTCGGAGAGAGAGAATAATGAATTGGAAGCAGTAAGTATTTAGAAGTGTTTGATTTGTTCATTGTCTGTTTAAAGATTTACAAGGTTGTAGAAAGGAAATTAGGAATGAGTCAGGTGAATACTATGGCTTCACAGTGATAGTCACAAGTGTCTGGGGGATGGAAAAGTGTGGGTGTGCTTCAGCATCTTTCTATTTTGTACATTTTGCAGGAGGAAATTCAGGAAGCAAGTGATCATGAGGATGAAGATGAGGAAGATGATGAGGATGAAGATGACATGGAAGTTGTTGAAAGCTCAGATGAATCAGATTCTGATTCTGATGAAAAAGGTGATGTCAGTGCAATATTCTGTAGAATTTTACAAATCCTATCTGTCATTCCTTGGCTTTTGGTAGGCAAGATAGCATGTTGTGAACACACTGTCCATAATTCTCTGTGGATTGTGTGTCCAGCGAATTTTTTTTTTTTTTTTTTTTTTTTTGGTTATGGTGCTAAAACATGTAACAGACATCTGATCAAGTGTCCCCATACTGGCTTTAAAATTGACTGGAGGCCATCGGGTGTTTGGTAACACATTTCTTTCTTGGTTAGAATATCCAAAGTGTAAGGTTTAAGTACTGGGTTATTTTCATGTCTCAGGACTAATGACCAAGGTGATAGCTCCTGTTCAGCTAAATTGGAAATAGTGTCGTGGTTTAACCTCAGCCAGCAACTACGCACCATGCAGCTGCTCACCCCCCTCCCCCCCAGTGGGATGGGAGAGAAAATCAGGAAAAGAAGTAAAACTCGTGGGTTAATAGAACAGAAAAGAAGAAACTAATAATGATGATGATAACACTAATAAAATGACAACAGTAATGATAAAAGGATTAGAATATACAAGTGATGCACAATGCAATTGCTCACCACTTGCCAATCAACGCCCAGTTAGTCCCCAAGCGGCAATCCCTCCACTCCCACTCCCCCCAGTTTATATACTGGGCGTGATGTCACATGGTATGGAATACCCCGTTGGCCAATTTGGGTCAGCTGCCCTAGCTCTGTCCTGTGCCAACTTCTTGTGCCCCTCCAGCTTTCTTGCTGGGCTTGAGAAGCTGAAAAATCCTTGACTTCAGACTAAACATTACTTAACAACAACTGAAAACATCAGTGTTATCACATTCTTCTCATACTGAACTCAAAACATAGCACTGTACCAGCTACTAGGAAGACAATTAACTCTATCCCAGCTGAAACCAGGACAAATAGGTAGAATTTAATTTTGAAACACTGAAAGTCTATCAGCCTTCCTCATTTTTGTGTAGCATGCAAGTTAGGACTGCTAGAGTCAGAGACAGCATCACCAGCAATTCTCTCACGTGAGTTGGGCCAAATGGGCAAACCAAATCTGATGGTTCCATCTTGTTTGATAGTCACACAAACCATTAGCAGGAGTTGCAGAACCTGCGGGGAAAAAAAAAAGGGTTAGTGCTTTTTCCTTACTTCCCTTACTTTTTTTCCTCCTACTTTTCTCATTCCCTTCACCATTTCACTTCTGTGATAGAGGTCACTCAACTCTTCTCAGAAATTTGGCTGTATCTTTCTAAGAGCTAGTGAAGGGAAAGTCTCCTCTTGGAGTCTGCCAGCAGGCACATTTTCCTTTTATAACGTGCTGGGTTTATGATTGAAAGTTATTCTCCAGCCCTGAGCTGTGACTGAAGTCTCACAGCCTTTTGTATGGGGAAGGACAGATTGCTGATGTTGAGATTTAAATGTGAGTAATAACAATATATGGGCAACTGTGATCCGATGAGAGATTTTTCCCTATCTCTTTCCTAGTTCTAGAATGGAGAGTGTTTAAGGAGGAGACTTTATTGTGAATTGCAGATAATAGTTTTGATTGCTGCATTGTGCTTGGCTACTTTACTTTGTTACTTTAACAGAAGTCTTAATTTTTAATTACTGAAATCTTTTTATTTTAGAAAATTATCAAGCTGACTTGGCAAATATCACCTGTGAAATAGCCATTAAGCAGAAACTGATAGATGAACTAGAGAACAGCCAGCGAAGGTTGCAAACACTGAAAAAACAATATGAAGAGAAACTAATGATGCTACAACATAAAATTCGAGATACTCAGCTTGAAAGAGATCAGGTTCTTCAAAACTTAGGTAAGAAGTACAAAATCATTTAAATCTAGATGTTGTGTAAGATATTCAAGTTGAATTGTTTGCTACTTCCCTACCTTCCTTTTTCAAACATGATAAGAAATTGCAGAAAACAGAAATAGGTTTGTACCCATAATGCCAGTGAATCATACTTTACTCCTCGTTTCTACCAGAACTGAGAGAGATTTTTTTTAAAAAGATACTGCTACTGACAGGTATTTGATTTGATTGAATAAGCATTTTCAGTTTTCTAGGCGCTCTCATTTTAACATAGTCCTTGAGATAGTTGCTGAATAAAAAGTTCTTTCCTGCTCCTCCCTCCCCCATTTCTTTTGATTTGCTTAAAAGTAATAACTAGGATCAGTGGCCTTTCAGAGGTGTTTTACTGACTAAACTTTTTTTGAATATGTAATAGTATTGAGATGAAAAACGAACTCTGACTCAGGAAGTTCTAAACCACAAATAGTTGAACTTTGGGAGAGTACTGGAGGAAGTGTTTTGTTTGTTTGTTTCTTTTTTAAAATATACTGTATATGCTTTATAGCTATATACTTATATGCTTTTGCTGTTCCCTTATTCTTTCTTAGACCTTCCCTCTTGATCAGTGCCAGAAAAGTCATACTAAGCTGGATAGCTTTTTGGACTGTTATGACCTTGTGCACATATGCGTGAACAAGCATGTCTGTATCTGTCTTCAGGTGCTCAGATATTTGTTGTCTAGTACAAAGAAATTGGAAGGAAAGTGTTAATACTTAATCTCTTATCCAAGAACACATACTAGGTGGAAAGTTTGAAGCAGTGCAGGTGACAGTAGCTAGAGGCACATTAAATTTTTCAAAGATATTGCAGATAATGCTATCAAAGCAGAGGAAGCAGTCATTTGCTGTGGCTGGCAAAGTGAAAATATCCTGAACAAAAGCAGATTAAGAATTTCCTTTTGCTCTAGGTTCTGTAGAGACCTATTCAGAAGAAAAGGCAAAAAAAATCAAGTTGGAATATGAAAAGAAACTCCAAGCCATGAATAAAGAATTGCAGAGACTTCAAACAGCACAAAAGGAACACGCACGATTGCTTAAAAATCAGTCTCAATACGAAAAGCAACTGAAGAAACTGCAGCAGGAGGTGACAGAGATGAAGAAAACCAAGGTATATTTCAGTATATTGAAGTGTTGTTCAATGAGTGTTTACTGAAAAATGGATTGAAATCTCCTGTGCATTTATCTACCAGATAACTCTGTTCTTGCTGTCAGCTGCTCGAAAGCCTGAAAACACAAAATATATGAAGACTAGGCTATTCCTGGGGGAGAGGAGTGGCTTTTAGGTTTAATGAACAGAAATTATGGTATCAAACATGGAGAAGCTTGCACTGCTTATTAGCTGTTATTCAGCGCTGAGTGAAGATACATTAGATGGAGGAGGTAAATTGCTAAAAGCATGTAATATACTGGAAGATGGCAATTTGAAGAAACTCTGTGTGAGTGGGGGCAGGCAGCAGTAGTTCAGTGTAAACAGCTTTTCTAAGTGATGACCTCTTTACAGGTTCGCTTGATGAAACAAATGAAAGAAGAGCAGGAGAAAGCTAGAATGACTGAATCTAGAAGAAATAGAGAGATTGCACAGCTTAAAAAGGAGCAACGCAAACGAGAGGTGATTTGACAGATAAAGAACTTTCATTTGGAATAAGCATCTATCCTGATGTGCATATGCTTGTAGGCACACACCATGTGTGTATGCATTCACTGAGGCAGGCATGTACCTGTGTATTTCTGCCAGTCAAAATGCACGTAAATTGGTTTAACTTCTATGATAACTGGGTTCCTAGCTTCAGGTGATATGTGCAACAGAAAATAGAAGGCTTATTGAATATTTATATCAGTATTGTTTTATTAGTGAATCTCACAAAACTGTTGCTACTATCTTGCTTGCATGCAAGTACTCTTTTTGATAGAGAATTGATATAGTGAAACACTTATTTTCATTCTGTACTAGAAAGAGCAAGAAACAATTGTGACTTGCCCACTTCATGTCACAAGTTTTGCAAACTTGTATTAGCGTGTAAAGGTCTTTTTTTATACAATACAGTCCTTGTGGCAGATAATGGAAAAAACCTATTTGCTGCTTGTATTTTTTCACAGCATCAGCTCAAGCTTCTTGAAGCTCAGAAAAGAAATCAAGAAGTTATCTTACGTCGCAAAACTGAAGAGGTATTGTGGTAAAAGAGTAATACAACTTTGAAAATGGAATGATATTGTATCACTGTAACTTGGAACGTGGTTTTGGGGAGAGGTAATCGTGTCTCTGCACTGTGTTTCAGGTTACAGCCCTTCGTCGGCAAGTAAGGCCTCTGTCTGATAAAGTGGCAGGAAAAGTAAGTCGAAAGCTGAGTCTGCCTGAGCATCCTATACAGGAAGCAAGTTCTAGCTCATCAGTTGAGCACGATGGTTCAAGAACAGCAGTGCAGCAGAAGATGAGAATTCCTGTTGCAAGGGTTCAAGCATTATCTGTAACTGCAACAAATGGAACAGGGTAAGGATTAAAACTGTTTAGTCCTCTCTTAAGAGAACTGAAAATTGCATGGACTTTCTAGCGGATAATCTTGTGGTGATGCATATTGCACTGGTTATTTTTCAAATTGCTGTCATGTAATGCTCATAAAATGGGTGTTTTACCATTATCAAATGGAATTTGAATTTTGTGGGTTTAAGACAGTGTGGAATAATATAAAATGGCTTTAAAGAACAAGTTGCATTAAGAAACCCCAAAATTTCAAAATGCAGTTAATCTGCCATTAGAGAAATGCCCTTGGTGGTCCAATGCCTGCAATGTTCTTAAGTACAAAGAAAAACTTGTCGGAAAACACAATTTAATGTATTGGGTTTATTGGTGATCTTCCACTGGGGTTTGAAGCAGATCCCCTTGTTAAATAGGGAACAACTCTTAGGTGGCATTCTGTTTCAATGGTGCATCATACAAGATACCACAGTGTTTGATACCTGTTTTTCAAATGCAATATATTAAAGGGCGGTAGAGTTCAGGGCTGGGTGCAGGTAACTGTCTGGTGCAATGAAAAACTGAAAGAAATTCTGCAAGAAATTTTAAGTTGTCTGTCAAAAATATTCTGGCCTGATCATTTCCACATTCAAATATGTAATTGAACTACTTTAGACTTAGATGTATGTTTCTCTTGAATTTATCACAGAAAGAAATATCAGCGGAAAGCAGTGACAAGCAGAGTTTACTCCTCAAAGGCAGCCAGGATGAAATGGCAGTTACTTGAACGCAGAGTGACTGATATCATTATGCAGAGGATGACCATTTCCAATATGGAGGCAGATATGAACAGGTTACTTACGGTGGGTGATCTACTATGCACTGTTGCCTGTATCATCTTATTAAATAAAGTGAGAGCAGTGCATTTATGTTTTCTGTAAATGAATTGCTGCGAAGGTGGCATAGGCAGTGACTTGGAATCCATTGCCATCAATGAAGATGCTCTTAACTACTCCAGTAAGCATTTGTACCATGGGATTGCTGTGCTTAGTAAGAAATAAAAAACATATTAATAGGATCATGTGCAAATATACTAATATATTCACCTGTATAACTACTTCCTGTAGAAATCACGATATGTTAGTTAAAGTATAACAAGGAAAACAAAACAAAAAGGTGTTTAAACGCCCTAAGTATTTACTAATTCCTTTTTATGTAATATTATGTCTTTGGGGAAAATAGCAACGTGAAGAACTTACAAAAAGAAGAGAAAAGCTTTCAAAGAAAAGAGAGAAGCTCATCAAGGATGGGGGTGGCAGTGAAGCAGATAGAAACGTCCAAAACATAAATGAAGAGATGGAATCACTAACTGCGAATATAGACTACATTAATGACAGCATTACTGACTGCCAAGCAAACATTATGCAAATGGAGGAAGCAAAGGTAGGTCAAATATTAATGCAAAAATGGTAAAATGGAGAAAAGAAAAAAATCCTGTGGTAGCCTTGAAAATGTTCTCATTTAGAAATTAATTTTGTTTTGGCTATATAATTATTGAATCAGAAAGTGAAAATTGGTGAAAACTTGGGTGAAGTTTGAAATGAGGAGTGTTTATACAGCTGAATTTTCAGATCTGAGTTTTAATGTCAGTGTAATGCAAGTTAAGATTGCAAAGCATTTAAATGTCAAAGCTGATGCTTTCTATTCTGCTGGCATTAAATTAATATAATTCTTGGGACTGAAGGCTAGCAGCTTGTATATTCCTGCATCTGTTGGTATGCTTCCACTCCCTTGTATTGTTTTTGTATACTTTAAATATATTTAAATATATTTAATGTGAGAATTTATGTAAATTCTTTATATTGCATTTTAGTATATTTTCAATTATGGAACAGTGACTTTCTATAACTAAAGAGCCTTTTCAGGCCAAGTTGCTTGTTTAGGGTTATCATTTTCAAATAGTAATTTAGTAAAAAGAAATTGTCTATTACAATTGATGTAGAAATTTGAATAATACCAAAAGCAGTGAAATCCAAATCTGAAAACTCTTATAATGTGCATCATACCTTACATGATCTAGCAGGAAGAATCCACCACATAGTCTCCTAGGTCTCTTGGCACATGGGAGCATGAAGTCCGAACTGTAATACTTACCAGTATTTTTATATGGCAGTTCTTGAGTTCTCCCTCTCCCACCTTGGGCTAAGCTATGCTTTAATGCATATTATATTGCCAGCAGTTTCTACTATTTTACTCACACCAGGGCTTCTTCAATCTTGGACATCATGGTGCAAGGTTACAGGACTTTACCAGTAAAGAAATAGAGAACACAAAAGGCTTAATAATTCTTAAGGGTACCAGAGTGCTTAATACTGACTGAGAATAATTGGAAGAAAAATGAGGAAGAGACCTAGGGGGAGAAGCCTTCAAATGCATGAAGGCTGCAGAAGAAATGCATTTATTTCTGCATCCACTGTGAATAGCTTAGCTTGTGGAAAGAAGGGGTCTGAGTTTAGAGTTTGATAAGAGCTTTCTAATAGGAAAGAAACTGAAGCACTGGAAGAGACTGGGAAGGCTGCAGTGTCTGTACTGTGGGGTGTTTTAGGTATAGTTTGGAAAAGAGATCTTTCAGGCATGGTTAAGAAGTACCAAAGAGATGAACTGGGTGATACTGCAGCATCTTCACTGTTTCTGTTTTCTATGATTAGTATAATGATTTGTGAAAAATGCTTTTTTTTAAATCTGACTGTTTTTATTGTTGCACACATAGGAAGAAGGAGAGACCTTGGATGTAACAGCAGTGATTAATGCTTGCACTTTGACAGAAGCTCGGTATTTGCTTGATCACTTCCTCACGATGGGTATCAATAAGGTAATGCATTAAGTGAAATATATGTGTGCCAGGACTATGCCATGTACCAGGAGCAGAGCTGTGCTGACATAAAGACTGACTAATGTGCATTAGATAAAGCAAAGCTGGTCAACATTACTGAGTCACGCTGGTTCTTGGGGTGAAGGCCCTTGACATTCATTGTCCCCTTCAACCTGTTGCCTGTTTTTCTACTCCCAATAGAGCCTACTTCACTTTACTAATTACCTCATATTGTTCCTATAAGAGCACTAGCTTTTCATAATCAAATAAATATCTTTCTGTGTTTTTCAACAAGCTCCTACAGAATGGTCAGGATCTTTATTTAAAGACTGGTCAGCCACTTCCTTAAAAATATGAGCCTTTAAAAAATTTATTGATGCATGGCATACTTTACTCAGGCTTCTACTTTTGAGTAGAGCAATAGGGGCTTTTTCTGAAGGCCTTGGAGCAATATTTTCAAAATGAGTATTTGGCAGTTTATAACCCTGCGCACACATGTATCATATGCCCTTGCTGCTGCTTTTCTTTCTTTGGCCTTTCTTTGGAGGCCATACTCAGTGTCATTGAATCAAATAAAAGATTTCAAGGCTATTGAAATGGGCTTTCAGTCAGTCCCACTGACCAATTCTCTGTTCTTTTTTGCATTCTTGATTCATCACTATGCAGGTAGTAAAATTTTTTTTTTTTTTAAATAAAAAACATACAAAAGAAAAGAAAATTTCCACAATTACATTGGCTTCTGCAACAGAGTTAATATGAGAAAAGTGCCTCTGACTTACCCTGTTAACAATTTCTCCGTATGATAAAAAGCTCCATTACATGAAGGTTTTTCTCCTCTTTCTGATAAGTAATAATTTTCTGTAGAAAAACAGAAGGTTTCTAAAAAAAGGTGTATTTTCTTGCAGAATTGGTCATTCCTGCTGTCTGTTGTTTGTCTCCACATACAAAATGTGTTTGTTGATATGTTGTTTTAGTTCATGATAAAATCAGAATCTAATGTGTAAGTCCATAGTACTACACTTTCTCAAGTCCTAGAACTCCAAGTCCTCTGATATCCTACAAGTCTTTGAGATGATGAGTTGCATCTTCATTTTCCCCTACTGTTTCTTCTGTTTGGAAACTATTCTCTCTAAATTTCACTGGCTACATTTTCTACAACTAAAAAATTCCCACTAATCCATGGGTCTAGGGAAGTTCCCTTAGAGTGGATTCTCTCTTAAGTTGGACCATGAGATCTTTCAGCAGAAGCTGAAAGTTCACTGAGTGATACTGTAGGAAAGATTACAGTTCTAGGGCTTGGTTTTGGTTGGGTTGGGTTGTTTGGTTTTTGTTTGTTGTTGTTGTTGTTTGTTATAGAGTATCATAGATTAAAAAAAAAAAGTACTTGTGAAAAATGGAGGTGTTGATTTTTCAGATGCTTGCTACTCTTAAAGAAATGCAAAGAATCTATGAATTGTACTTGGGAGTCACATCCAGCTTAGCCACTAGATGCATATTTGCAAGGCAGAGTGAGGAACACAAGTTAAATGAATGCTTAATGAATCTCTTAACAAAAACCAACCAAACACACACACACCCCCAAACAAAAAAAATCCCTTTAGCTGACACTTGATCCTTAGGATGTGAGGGGAAGGTTACAATGTACACATTGTTTGTGTTTGTAGTTTTTAAAAAGTTTTGGCAATTCTCATTTTGTAACGAAAGATAAGTGCTTTATCACAACTCATCTTTTTCTTTGTCTCTCCTAGGGTCTCCAAGCAGCTCAGAAAGAAGCTCAGATCAAAGTTCTTGAGGGACGCCTTAAGCAGACAGAAATTACTAGTGCTACTCAAAACCAGCTGCTGTTTCATATGCTAAAAGAAAAAGCCGAGTTAAATCCTGAACTTGATGCTTTGCTGGGTCATGCTTTGCAAGGTAATTTTGTCATCTTGTATTCTGAATAGTCAGCTGCATGTCATGTTTGCCTTTCATGCATGCTGTACTGGGCATTCTAGGCTATTTCTTTTCTGAATAGATGCTGTATTTTAACGTCTTAAACTCTATTTCACAATTGATGTGCATGTATGTAATTTTTAAGTATATCCCCTCGGCAGTGATATTTAGGAAATAGAGAAGTTTTTTTATTATTGAGATTTTTTAAATTTAAATAATCTGCTTGTTATTTTTACAAAAGTCTATGCATTTACAATTTGGTATCTTTTTAACTTCTGAATGTGAAATTCTAAATAAGCATTCCTGTTCAATCATCATATGTTAGTGATTTTGAAAGTGGCATCGTATGTCTGTTACGGCATCTATTCTACTTCTCATGAGATGATATTAAGAAAAATTTAGAATACAATTGGGTACTTTTTTTTTTATTTCTTTTTATAACTGGATATGTTTTGATTGGAGTGTTGCTTTTGTTTCCTTGTTGCTGTTATTTATACAGACCTAGATAGCATATCGCTGGGTAAGTATGTTTAGCTTTCTGTGTACTGTACAGCTGCATGAGTTACTAATTCACTCCTGTTCACTAACTGGTGCATCTTAGAATTTGTGAGTGTGTGAAGTTTGCATGAACTATTCCGTAAATGTACTCATTATCATGAGCTTACAGAGCATTTCTGCCTATCTGAAACCACCCATAGCCCTCATGTTAGTTAGATTTGTCAGATGAGAAGTGAATACAGTAAGCAGAGCTGTGTTTCAAATTTATGACTTGCTGCTTACGAACCTGTAGTATGTTCAGACTACATAAAGCTATTTTGTGATGTACCACTGCTGTAGTTGTGACAAATTCTGCTATCTCTTTAGGCCTGGAAAAAAAATTAATTCTTAAGATGCAGGTCATTTTTAACCTTTTACAGGTAGCTCATTTTATAATGTAAATATTGTACAGAATGCAGATTTTACCTCACTTTTTCAACTGGGTTTAGTACTGACTTCACTGATTTTGAGGAGATGAGTCTTTTGTTGTTGCTTTTAAATGATTCCCAAATAAATTACACTTATTTTCTCCCCTCCCTTGTTCCCAGCCACAAAATTGGGTATGTTTGAAACGTGGGAAAAAATATTCCTGATGTCAGTAACAATTCTTCTTGTATTGTCTTGTGTTGCTTCTAATCCCATTATGCTGTCCTATGCTAGTCTGCATAGGCATCTGAAACATTTCAAAAGCACAAAACTGCCTGAAGGTGTATAGATCCTCATCTTGTGTAAGCTGGTGAGAACTTTGCCAGTTTCCTGATAGGTGACACCTGAAGATCTGTGTCAGGGCATCTTGCTGCATACAGCCAGTATTTATTCAGGAACCTCAATTGTTATTAATATCATAGTGTATCTAAAATAGACACTTAATGTGCGCGCATGTGTGTGTGCTCACCCATGCTGGAGTGAGAGCAATGTTTCTCCAGCCAGGAAGTTAACATTGCATTTTCTTTAGCTCTGGACAGGCTTTTACCTATTAACAGCATCTGGAGCAGTGAAAAGACACTTATTAAATGCATTGAAACAGTAGCTCTATCGTCAATGTTTTTGTAGAGTATATGTCATTAAAGAAGCTTTTTTTTAACACTTTGCAAGCATGAACTGAGGCTTTTAAAACACCTAAGCTACTCAGGACTATGCTAACATTTTACAGGAAGGAAACTTCACTGCAGTTGTATCTTGGCTGAATATGCCATACTAACCTCAGTCCACACTGAAATCCAAACTTGATAGTCTGCATTTTGTAGATCACTAGCGGCTAAAACTTTTGAGCTGCAGGGAGAGCTGTAGTACAGTACTACTACTGTTGTACAGTTGTAGTTGAACAGTACTACTACTGCTGTAGTGAGGCTTTGAGGCTGGGACTGCCAGCTGGTTAGCAAGGACTGTTGGTACAGGGGCTCTCTGGTAACCTGACATGATTCCCAGGGGTGGAAGTGTGAGTGGCAGCAGATCCTGAGACCAATTTCATCAGGCTGCTTGATAGCTCAGTGGCAGTACCCAGCCAGCCCCATCTCAAGCAGAGAGGTTGCACTTCCAGGGTGCTTGTGAACCGTTCCCTTGATGCCTACTTTCAGCTCTGATATCTTCAAAAGTTCTTGGCCATTTGAATACACTTAGCTTAACTAAGTTTGGGCATTCCCCAGTGTAGTTGTGCACCTACATTCAAGCGTAGACTTAAGAAAAGGGTTCAGTCTACAGCAAAGCACATCACAGTCTTGGGTTTTGACCCTCAGAATGGGTTTTTGAATGCAAACCTGCCTTGCTTGTATGAGCCATCTGCCATTTGCTATCCCATCTGCTCTTGAGAAGAGTTAACATGACCATGAAGTTGAGTCCTGAAGCATTGATGGAGTGATTCCTTTCTAAAGAATTGTAGGAGCTGCTTTTCCTTCCCACCTCTGACATCTGGACATTCATAGATGTGACTCACAGCCATGTATATGCAGATGTTGAGAGGGCTGGTCAAATGTCACTTCCTCTGGATGAACTGTGCTGGTGTACTGCATTGTACTGGTACTGTCCAGTTGCCTCTGCATGAGGATTAAGACAAGTCATCAGAAAAGCCTTCCACTGTTCTTCAATCATTGGTTTATTAGCAGTCATCTCAGCTGCTCCTCGCAAGCTGTACTGCCTTTACTAACTTTATTGTTCCTTTCAACTCTTCTTGCTCAGGACATCTTGCAGAATCTTGCTCTTCTGCCTCTTCTCATTTCTTTTCATTGATTCTGTGTGCTGCTTTCTATCTGGGGACTTTGTGCAGTCTTCTTGTACTGAATTGTAGACAAACTGAAGAAAAATATCAATACATGTCAGGTCACATGAATGTGAGCTTACAAATAAAATCCCATCCTTTGTGGCTATCCTCCACTTTCTACTTTGTTGCCTGTAAAAGCTGTTCACAGGTTATTTGAGAAGGGGATGAAGTAACATCACCCTAATATGAATCCTATATTTAAAAAAAAAAAGCATTTATTTTATTGATGCTGCTTTTGTGCCTTGCTAGAAGGAGCAGTACTCTAGACTGTCTCTTCTGCAGAAGATGTAAAATAATAATATGTATAGAAAAGGTTTAATGTGGGCTCAGATCCGGGATGGAACAAAAAAGAAAGTTCAGAGTGCTATTCCTGTGACCCGCTTTCTTAATTATCAGAGATACAACAATATTATAAAGGTTACATTGTTAAAACTAATGCAGCAGTTGAGTATCTCTGAAGTGCATTGTTGGTGTTGGTGCTAGATTGATATATGGTTTTGACTTGTTCAGGAAACATTTTTAGATGTAGCATACAAATGAAGGCAGCATTTTCCTTTTCTTCATTCCTTCTCAGAATTAAACTGGAGACTATATATCTTTCCATCCATTCTCCAAAGCATGAACTTGCACTTAAAACATATACATGGACAAACCTATTTTAATACGGGTACCAGATATATTGGTTCTTTGCATTACAAATGGTATCTGGTTTCTGGCAGAAATTAAATAAACAAACTTAAAGAATCTCTAATAGTAAAGAAGAGATGTAATGGAATGTCATTAGAAGATTATTTAACCCTTAAAATTTCATGATTATGTTAAAAAATAAGGGACTTCACTTGCAGGAATGTATTAACTATGTCCTTAAACTATGCTTAAAATGTATTATTAGAATAATGTGCAAGTTAGGGGATTTGTTTCCCAAGAATTTGGAATTGATTGTACGTATGCCCTCAACTGGTTGTCTCAGCTTAATGTTTTGCACTGTTTGCATGCAGACATGTTAATCTGATGTTTGACAGTGTTAGTGCGTGACATGCATGCTGGTTTTGTCTTTTGTGGACAGGTTTGTGTACCCATTTTACTTCAGGAACATTTCTACTGAACAACTTCATTTTACAGTTAGCTTCAATACAATTAATCTCTTTTTAGGAAGCAGTTCTATAGTATTAAATTGTGGCATCATCCTGTTTTGAAACCTAAATGCTTATATACTAATAAAGTGCTTGCTTCTTGTCAGCCCAAATGGTGCCACTCTGTACAAGCTGAGGCTGAGCCTCAGCTTGCTAGCTACTTAAAAATAATTTTTTTTTTTTCATTATAACCAGGCTGATTCTGTCTTAAAGCAAGAAGATTACATAAAAAGAGGAGGAAGAGACATCCTTACTGTCCATTGATTTTACATCCTGTCTCTTCCATGTCTTGCAGTTAATTTCCTTTGCTTTATCTTCTTTCTTCCAGATTTCCTTCTAGAATTTATTTCTGGTTTTCTGTCATCCCTGTTGCTCTGCTACAGTAGAAGACCGCATTTGGCACAATAGGCCTAGGTGTAAGATTTATTTAAATTGTATAAAAAAATTTAGTTTAGATACCAGGAAAATTCAATGGGGACTGGCTAGGAAATAGTTAAGGTACTTTGAAAACCCCCGCCTTTTGTGTGCTGTTCATCTACGTTCAACATTGTCTGAGCTGTTTTGTATAGCACTTAAAACCTGCACATCCTGTTGTAGACAGACAGACTAACATTATTCTTTTGGAAATTTTCTAGAAAATGTGGAAGATAGTACTGATGAGGATGCCCCATTGCATAGTCCTGGGACAGAAGGAAGGTGAGCAATCTTTGTTAACAGGTAACTGGATTTGGCTCTAGAAAAATTACTGTCACTTTCTCTTTCTGTAACACATCATGTATCCATTAGAAGATACCTCTGACATTGTTTTGTTCTACTTTGTCCACTATTTCAGTAGGAAGAAGAATCAAATAAGAATACACATTCTGCAAAAGTATGGCTATTTTCTTTCTAACTGTGGTGCAATTTTTCTTTTAGTTCATTATCTTCAGATCTTTTGAAGCTTTGTGGTGAAGTCAAACCCAAAAGCAAGGTAGGCTGTACAATGATGATGATAATAATTCACACTTCAACAGCACTTTTCTGGGGAATGCTCTTGCTTTGCACTAGAGATGTTAATGAACGAACACATGCAGAAGGTGAACTGATGTACCGTTCATGTGATTTGTATGCAATATGCTTTTGTGTGATACTCCGCTCTGAGAAGCAATGATAAAAATGTACTTTTTCAATATTTTGTGGTTGAATTTTTACTGTTTCAGAATGAGATATGTTCTTCCAATTACTAGCACTCCAAACTGGAGTAGATTTGTGGTTTAGTATTAGTTAGGCTGCAGTTTAATGTTAATGCCAGCAGGAACTGAGAACTTGCTTATTGTTTGTGATTTTCTTCTGTGGTCATAGAAATGTAAAGGAAGTTTGTAAAAGAAACAGAAGTTTGACCTCCAGGCTCTTAATTGCAGTTGGCATTGGAGGAATATATCTAGGCTGGCTGCAGTTTAATATTAATGGCAGTGGGAACTGGAAACACGCACGCTGATTGTGATTTTGCTTCTGTGCTCACAGGAGCATAAACCAAGTTTGCACAGTAAATAGAAGCTTAGCCTCCACTCTTCTAACTGCACTTGGCTTTGGAGGAATATACCTAGGTTGGCTGTTACATTATTGGTTGCATTCATTGGTGTGCAGCTCTTTGGGCAGGTAAACTGAGTGAGTTTGGTCTGAAAATGTTGGCATAAAATAAGTGTCATTTTTGTAATGGCTCTATTGAGACAGGACCTTGTCTTCCCCAGTGGCCTTTCTTTCCCTGAGGAATAGATCTTAATTTCACAGCATCGTTACACCTAACATGTATGATCACTTTTTTAAGAATGACTATGTTGCACAAAGCTCAGCTCCTTTGTGAGGTTTTGTGTTGTTTTCAAATTGTTGAAATGCTGACCAAATCTTAATTCATGTTGGCCTAAACTACTTTAAGTGACATAAACTAAGAAAGAAGCAGAGCTTTTGTATCAGAAGGAGCATCAGTGTAAGAATTCACACTTTGCTTTATTCCTCTCTGCTTTATAACATTTCATCTGGATAAACCTTAGGAGAGTAATATTGTACTCCTGTAGTACTGACAGGGCCTTGTAGTTGGTTGAAAGGATATCAATGGAAACCAGTTGCCAAATCACTGTCTCATGCTGTTGAATTTGACTTGCCTCCTCTGAAACATTGCCAAAGAGTAGAGATGAGCTCCCTGAATTAGTTTCCAGAGGTAGTTGCTAAGTGAATTGAGGTGGATGCTAATTATGAGTTAATGATAAGCTTAATTGTAGCACTATTGACACATACCATGAAATGTTTAAGTCGCAACTTGGTTTTTATTTGTCTCCAGGCCCGCCGGAGGACCACTACTCAGATGGAATTGCTATATGCAGACAGCAGTGATTTAGTCTCTGACATTAGTGCTGCAGACTCTACTTTGGCTGGTCCTCTTGCATCAGTTGCAGAAACCCAAGAAAGTGGGATGGCTGCTGACACAAATGATACTTCTGCTAGGGACAGAGAGTTTATTCCCCCACCATCTGGCTTACCTTCTAAGATAGGCAGCATGTAAGTTTGGCCATGCTGTACTAATTATCCTTTGCTTTTAAAAAATGCATGTTGCCAATTTCTTGTAATCTATTATTTTAACTTTACAAAGGAGGTTGATATACTTGAAGCTTACTAAATAATACTGACAAAGCTCCTCCTCCTTTTCTACCATCACCAGTCTAGAAAGTATAAATGCACAGTTGTAAGTAACGTGTTTCTTACGGAAGATATAAGTTCTGTTAAGTTGCTTTGTCGTAGTAAAATTATTGTAGCCTTGTTTCTAAGTAGTGGGAAAAATCCATCTAGTAGCTTGGATACTTTGCTGTCTTAGTGCTATGGGAAATGCACATTCTAGGGAGGTAATGACAATCTACTTAGAACAGCAGAGAGATTAAAAAAAAACCCAAACAAACCCCCAACCCCAAGACTTTATATAATGCAGCAATAGTGTCTGTAAATGGTCCTCACTATTAGGTAAAATGTTTCTATGAGTCATCTTGTGTGGATCATACTTAAAATGAAGACTATACAATAATAGAGCATGCAGGTGTAAAGTTGAAAGAAACATGTTGGATATTATGAATCCTCAAAAATTCTTTCTATTTGCAGGTTGCACTTACCTGCAGAACAGTTTTACTAATTGAAAATATTACTTGATGCCAAATAGAACAAAAATATTATTTTTGTCTTTTTACTTTGGGGCCAGCAGGTGTCTCTCACATGCACTCCTTTTTTCACTTGCTCTTGCTGTTCTCTTTATATTTACCAATATCACTGTTGGTTATTAGCCATTCACTGCTAGAGACCCTTTTCTTGGCTTTTAGGTACTAGCTCCTATGTTGCACAAACTCATGCGTAAACTGAATGTGCTTGCTGCATTCAGTGATATGGAAAAACTGTGTCCCATAGCTATCTTCCTGTTACAGATTCTGGAATTAAGCATCTTTCACTATCCATCTGTCCTATTTGCATAATATTTTTACAGCAGTCTCCATCTAATGTACATTTGCAATTTGTATTATTTTTACTGTGTATTTCTAGCATGTGCTTGAGGTGGCAATCATGAACAGTAAAACACTGCTGACAGCAATTATTAACCATGCTGATGGCTTCAGTGCATTTTACAAGTAGAATCTGCTTGGAAAGAATGCTCTTGAGGGTGAGGATAGGTGAAGAAACCCACTTGTTTCAGCAGTTAGTGTGAGATCACTAGAGACTTTTGAAGCTTCAAGATTTAAAACGTCAAGTGTTATGACCTGGCATCCAAGACTCAGGTAATACTAACTTTTGCCTCACTCCATCTTCTAGAATGTATCCGTTTGTGAAAGTGAGCCAGCAATGAGGCAAAACAGGATTTTCCAAAAACTGCATTCTGTGAACATATGCATTGTCAGTAAAACAATTCAATCAGCAGTAGGCCTCACATATATTTTGGGTTGTTATGATCATGTTTTAGCAGATAAGTGATCAAAAATTCCCACAATCAGTGTGCAGTGACTTCTTCACTGTAATTGAGATGCTTTTTCAAAACTAGAACTCAGTATACTTTATACGGTATTGCTGGTTTTGCTGGTCACTGGTCATTGTTGAAGAAAGGTGGTCTGTGTGAGCCATCTGGCCTTCCTATGTGAGCCTGTGGTGCCATCATGTCTCTTGTAATAAAATACTTTCTTCTGGAGCAGACTGTGGTCTTGTCTGCAATAAACATTGTCTCCTTTGTGCCGCTTACTTAAGTGACAGTTAGGGATGTAGAAGCAGTTAACAGTGATCCAAAATACGCATTCTCAAAGTGACAGAAATATATGCTTAGGTGCAAATCTAGGCATCTGCATATGTACAAACTGCGCCACTCTGGAAACCCCTCAGTTTTCTCAGATCTGTGGTGATTCAGAGAGGCACCTAAATGCCCATGGGCAAGAGTTAGTTTGGTTGGAATTCTGTTTACAAAGATGGCTAGTGCTGTTGTCCTTTGATATGCTCAGCTCGTCTACAGCAGCCTCTTCGGAGTAGAGTGGTCTCCTGTAAGTTTTGTGCCAGCTCTGTTCAGATGTCTGATATCCTGGGAAATCTAAAAGGGTGCTGGAAACCTGTAATTAGGTGTGTGTCTTGCTCCTTTTCATTCAACTCATTGACATCATGAACCTGTCTTTTACATCTATGCTTAGGAATTTCATTCCAGCAAGACTGCTGCATTCTTATAATACCTGCATTTCCAGACTTTCAAAAAGAATTCATAATATGATCATGCTCTTGCACATCTTCAGAAGAAGGTGTACACTGGAGTCAAAGATGGAAGACTCAAGGTGCATATAGAGAGTGAGCAAGAGGGAGCTGTCTCCATGTCTGCATATGTAGGACACTGGTGTGAGGCAGAGGAGCTTGGGTTCCAGTTTCTGGTGTGGTTTATTTAATCTAGTAGCTGCACAGTAGACACATAGACAACCATGGCAGTGGAGGCTAAGCCGTTCATCATCCTTGCTGAAAGATCTAGCTATCAGGCTGATCATAGGACGTGCCTTGTGACCCCAGGACTTTTGCATTCCTAAATGCATACTGGTCCAGCATAGAGAGGGAGGGAGTGTGTCCTATTCCACCTCTTTTTATGTGCTTTGTAGAGGTAAGGGAGCCTTGCAGAGAAATGTGTGCTCTGGCCTTGAGGAGGGAATTGAACCCACCTTTTCCCCTTCTTTTTTATGTACTTTAACTGCTAGGCTTTTGTGCAAAACCAGACAAGTTATCACTTGTCCTTTTTGTGTCTCTTGAAGACCCTGGGGGGAGCTCTAGGGTCTGCAAGCAACTCTTGGCACTAGGTCCTACAGGCAGGACCTTCACCTTCCAATTAGGGCTTGTGTTCATTGTGCAGATGATCACTTGAGACAGTCAGTCTCAGCTACTTGAGTCAAGTAGCTGTTCTTGGTTGTGCTGCCCTTGTTAAATCACGTTATTCTGCATGCCAATCCCAAGGTGGATTTTATTTAGCACAGACTTCTTCTCAAGGGAAACTGGTACAGCTTTCCTCAAGTAGAGAAGTTGCAGTTATGCAGATCCAAATCCTGTAGAGCTCTGAGACCAGATGCTAGTAACTGTGTCAGGCAGGTGGCCTGCCAACTGAACTTTACTTAATAAAGTTGTGTGGCACAAAAGCATTTTCAGAATCTGCTTTCTTTCTTTTAGTGAGCATTTCTGGTCATAGAAACAACTTTTTAAAAAGGATAAAACAAAGCAAATATTGCTTTTCTGATTGCCCAGCTAATGAGAAACAGGAGTTCAGAAGAGTGGACACCATCCAGATTCCTTTCTTTTTTTATCTGACTGTGGTGAAATGATGACATTCGGGTGTCAGCATTAATATTGCACTCTTGATCGTATTGCTATTTTTAATGGGGAGTAAAAGGTTGGGAGAAAGACCACAGTGACTGTGAACTGGAATTATTTCAGAGGAAGAACTAGAGAGACAAAGGAGGGATGGAAAGCAAGGCAGAAGGGAAAGGGGGACAAAAAGAAGCAATGTTATAATAGCCAGGCTGTCAGTGGGAAATGCTTTTTCTCACTTCCTAATTTTGAATTTGATATTGAAACATGAATATGTTAATGCAAAGTTTAATTCATATGTAAGAGTCATCATGGTTTCTCTGTTCTTCATGTCTGTAAGTGGTCTATTGTAGATGAAAGTTGTGGAATCTGAAATTTTAGATCTCAGACCTTCCATCTTCTCTGTGGTCTTAATTTGAGATGTATACTCCACTGTGTTTCTTTTAGTCAGTCTCTTTTATTATTGAATTAGTAGATCTCCTTTGCATATTCAGTATCTGGCTCTTTATATGATGATGAACTGTGAAAGTTAATAAACTTGGTGTATTTTAGTATAAAAATGTGAGAACAAATTTAGAGTCCATAGATTCAAGAGAGACAATACTAGATTAAGCACATTCTGAAATTTGAAATCTGAGTGGGAGAATGACAGCTAATGTAAGAAAAGCAAGTTTGTAAAGCACCTTAAAGTAAGGTAATGATTGCTCTTGCTTTAGTTCTAGACAGCCATCTCTGTCAGAGAAGAAGATACCTGAGCCTTCACCTTTAGCGAAGAGAAAAGCCTATGAGAAAACAATGGAAAAGACAAAGGCAAAAGAACAAAAACTGTAAGATTCTTTTAAATTTATTTTCTCTGACATAATTTAAACCTTGGGTATATTTTCTTGAAATATAAATCTGTATTTTTCTATTTCTGTAATTCTACGATGTTTTTTATTGTTGGCAGTGAAATTATTCACTGCTCAACTTCTGTGTATGGTTTTTTTTTTTTTCCAGAGTATTTTTCTGTATGAAATAACTCAGGAGCAGAGCCCTGACTACATGTCCTCTGGAGCATTTTCAAATGACTTTTTTTTTTTTTTTTTTTTTTTTTTATGGAAGTCATCAATTTCTCTAAGAAACTGCAGTTTTACAAGAATTTCTTTGGTTTATTTATGTGTGTTTTCTGCCTGGAGCTTTCACTGTTAGCACATAAACTTTGAACATCGTGCTACCTTGCACTCTGCAGCAGTTTGTAGTCTTAAATTTATTGCCTTCTCTGGAAAATACCTATAGCTAGCATTATAATTTTGTTTATTCGCTTAAGAAGAGAGCATCTAACATTTGAGGCATGTTGCATTTAACTTCTCTAACCATTCATAACCTGTTAAAGAAGATGTTCTTTTTTTCTTGTAGCTCAGATTCTGGAGCCCCAGAGGCTAGTCTGTCACCTCCTACTTCCCCACCAAGCCGGCCCCGTAATGAAATGAATGTTTTTAGTCGTCTTACTGTTTCTCAGGGAAACACATCAGTTCAGCAGGATAAGTAAGTCACAGAGGGAAGCCTCAGCCCCCAACCAGGGAACTGCAAAGTGCACTCAAGTTATCAGTGTAGTACTATCTGTTAGATATTTTGCCCTTCTCCTGCAAGACAAGAGGAGACATTTCTTGTGGTTTTTGTGTAGTTTTCAAACAAAATATTTTAAACTTCCATGGAACCATTGTAAAAATTCAAGAAAAGCAATTTCCTGCTGAACCTTGTTTCCTGTTTTCTAGGTTATGTCTGGTATTTGTAGTTTTAAACCCAAAGTAGAAAAGAACAGTAGAATTCTTAGATGTATGTGTATTTGTGTGTGCGTTTACACTTGAAAGTAGGATTTAGCTGATAATTTAGGAAATAGAGCTTTTGACAGTTATTCGGTTACTCTTCTCAGAATGCTGTCACAACAGCACCCTGGAGGATGGGATATTGAAATGGCTAGAACAGAGTTGTTTAGAGATTATATAAATTATTGAACAGACTGACTTTAGGAGGTGATCTGGAGAAGCAGATGATACTCATACCTTCTTTAGGAGGAGTAGAGCTCAGTTTCCTCGCATGTTAGGCATCTGTTAGGAGCCTTACACCAAATCACAGTGGAGTTGACTTGAGCAAAATCTTTGCGGGTTTCAGTACCGGTACTAGGGCCATGCAGCGCTTATGAACTGCAATTCAAACTTAGAATAAAGTTTAGTTCTGACTGTAGCAAGGCAAGAAATTGCTGTTGTCTGTTTACACTAATGCTTTTTCTAAAACTTTGGTTTTTTTCAGTGGTCTAGAGTCACCACATACCAAGCAGTAGCTTGCAAGGCTTTCAGTAGTTTAACTGTGCTTGTAACTTCTTTATCTTAGCTGTGTTATCTTTATCTTATTGCTAACTCCCACCTAATCCTTTTCATTTTCTCTGGACTGACTTTGAAGTCAAATTGAAACTGCTGAATCTGTTTGGTTTGAGTTAAAAATGAAGGACATCTTAAGACATACTGCAAATGTTCATGTCTGGGGGGGATTTTTCTTGTGTGTGTGTTCTTGTTTTTTATTTTTAAACACTTTTGAAAGTGAGAGGTGAAGGATTTTCAACTTAGGATTGTTTGCAAATTGCTGTTCTTATTTCAGTGGGGTATCAATAAGCTTAATATTTATATTTTTATGCTTAACATTTTACATGTTTCTTCTACACTTAACAGGCATTGATGGTCAGAAACTTTTTTCCTTTTGATATTTTCAACAAGCACTATGTTATGGAGGTTAAATTATACATCCATCGTCTCCTTTTACTTTGTTGCCTTTACTTCTATAAGAAAATGTTGGGGAAATAAATGGCTCAGCTGGTGTTACTCAGCTTCTTGGGCTGAGACAGTCTAGCAGTGTAACTTTACTGCTGAGAGTGCTGTTTTAAGATTATAATTCTGCTTCCTCCCCTAGCGCCGTGTTATCACGGGTTTAAGGTATACCCTGAGCAATGCTGCATACTGTATGTGGATTTGCATTGCTTTTCTGAATTGGCCATGCTGTTGTGTGTTCTTCTCATATGGAGGCTTTACTTTGCTGATACCTATATTCTTTCTCCTCACAATTCCACCACTGTTGATTGTAGGTCTGATGAAAGTGATTCCTCTCTGTCGGAGGTACACAGGTACTCTCTCTTTCTCTTTTCTGTTTTCTTGGCATCTCTCACTGAAGTTATTCCAGTTCTTCGGAAATTTCATTTTGCTGCATGAATTTTCCTGATACTTGTGTACTGTATCTCTTTTGCCTTTGCCAGAAGCATAAAAATCTGAAATTTTGGTCAAGCATGTCTCCCCCTCCCCTTTTTTAGGGTGTTCTTTATTGTTGTCGAGCATGTCAGGTTTTTTCTTTTTAAATGAAATATGGTATAAACCTTTCTTTAGACATATTCTTTCTCTCTTTTGTTCTTTTAAAAAAAGAGGAGCAGACATTTTCTTAGGTTTTATATGCTTATCTCTGTTTTTCTTGTTCAGTTGTATGCTTTGGTCACTAAAAATTAAATCCCAGTGTAAATAAAAATGAGTAGGTTTTTTATTATATCTTTCTCACAGAACACACGATGGCTTAAGAGATGAAAGAAATGTCCCCACTCATGCTCCTGAGCTGTGGCTTAGGATTTTGGTACTCAGTGAAAAATTAGTTTATTAAGAGAAGGGCAGTCAAAGGGCTAATAATACTATGATGGTGGTTTTGTTTGGTCATTGTAGCAGTTGTAGCATTTTTTTGTCTGTAGATTTCAGAGCACTGCACGTAGGTAGATAAATAGCTCCGGGACAATTATTTTACATGGCTTGTCAGGGGAATGAGTGGGTGAGAACAACAGTAGGAATAACTCAGTTTAGAGGCAGCATGATCCACTGGGGAGTACTACAGAGAAAACCATATTAGTTTTGTGTGGTGTTAGAAAACAAAACCATGGAGACCTAAATTAAAAATAATAAAGTAAATTGTTCCTGTATTCTTGAAAACATAAGAAGGTGCAGACAAAGGTGAATGCCTTTCCAAAATGATGAAGTTAATGTCAAACAATTTAAGGCAATATCAATCATGTTAGTAAAATCTATAAAAGGGTTGTGAAGGAGTACTGAATTATATGAATGAAGATGTCCTGAGCAGTAAAAGTGTATAAAATAGTAATTTCTAGGACTGTACTAAGTAAACAAGCTAATTGTAGCAAAGTTAGATAATATCAGGAAGGACTTTTTCCTTCCTGTAGCAAGCTTCTGGGTCATGTTATGGAATTTTTACATTTGGCTTAGTTCCTTTTTCTCATAGTTATGTGTGTAATACCAGGAAGAGCATGACAGTGAGTCTTACCTGCAAGCTGGTCAGGTCACAGCATTGTGTTTCATGTTTGTGGGCATTACCTTGAGGCTTTTCTACACCACAGAAATCAATGGGGTCCATGTGTGTGTGCAGTTGTGTGCATGGGCTTTTAGACTGCTAAATAATTTTTATTCGGTGATGAACTGTGATTTCCCCCCCCAGCCCCCCCCGCCCCGGGTGAGTTAGTCTTTTGGTACCACCACAGAACTAGCTACAAATCCCCAGGAAGATTGCTCTGGCATATCTGTACTCCAACCATACTCCCTTTTAGCTATTTGAGTACAAGTGTGGCATTGGGTACGGGGTGCAGTAGGAACCTTCCTCAGGCACACAAATTAGCAGCAGTTCTCCAAGCCTGCCTGTAGAAGGCAGTTGATGTGAAATGCCTGCTGAGTTTGGAATTGGCAGTGTACATTACATCTACTCCATTTTTCAGATGTGATACTTAGATTAAGATGTCTTTTATGCAATTTGCAGTCTTAAGGTTGATCCTAGGCATTCAGGAGCTTTAAGCATCCTGGTTCTTTCAGCATTACACAGACTTTCGCATATGCACAACATTCAGCATCTTGTCCTTTTTTCATTTGTTTGGTTTTACATGTGATTTCCTTTAACTGATAGTCCAGAGTTGGCACTTGCTGAAGCTAAATAGTAAAAATCCTCACATAGTTTATGAAAGGTATTCAACTGTTCTGCCCTCACATGTAAGAAAATTAGATTAACCTTTTTCCTTACATTTAAGTAAATTAATTTTATCTGTGTCTATTAGTATGTCCATCTCACATTCTCTTCTTTCCTTTAGGGGGATAATTAACCCATTCCCTGCTTCAAAATGTATCCGATCATCCCCGCTTCAGTGTATCTATACAGCTGAAGGACATACCAAGGCTGTGCTTTGTGTTGATGCAACTGATGACCTTCTCTTCACTGGATCTAAAGGTTGGGCAAGCTCCATGCATCTGTGCTGCCTACAGAGGCTGCTTTGACAACTTGTGGTATTGTGAAATTCTCAGTTTGTGCTTAGTACTGTAAACACAGTGGAAAATTGTGAGGATCCATTTTGCAACATAAGCTGAAGAAGGATTTACAGTAATTATCTACACGTTTTTAATTCCAATGTGTACTATTTGGCTGTTTATTTGTAGTGGAAAAAGTAACTATCAAGAATAACACTAATATTTGTTGAGTGATATGATGGAACCAATCATGGTAACATGTGCATACATGGTGTGCAATGCAAACTAATAGCCTCAGAGTAGGTGTAGAGGTGGGAATTAGCACGTCTTTGGCTGTGCTGCCTACAGAGGTTGAATAGTCTCCATGCCATAGTTGGTTCTTCGAGTAGAGCTAAGGACATTTTCTGCTTCCCCTGTGGGTCTTGTTGCTTGTGCCTTATGGGCATAAGAATTGTATGGCTGTTGTGGAAGAGGCCAGATTTTTAGTAGTCACTAAATTCCTTACTGGATGGTGCAGTCAGTCTATGAACTCTTCAAGCTTGTAGAAGCAGTGTTTTGGAAGAAAACATTTTCCTCCTGTCTTTGGTGTGACTTTCCATTGTAATCACTTAGTTTGGCTTGAAGATAACATAACCAGATCTCAGTGGTTATTTTTCATGAACACCCTTTTTAATATTGCTCAAAAGTGATTTTTGTGTGTTTTTTCTCTGGGCCTTTTCCTATACGGCACTTATGGTAAAGGACTTGCTATATTTTTAGTTCTGCAGCTGAAACTGTGGCAGACTTTTTTTTTTTTTCTCCAAAATAAAACTTGTGTGATAATCTGGGGTTTTTTTTGTTTTGTTTTGGTTTTTTTTCCTTCAAGTATCAAATCTAAGGTGAACTAGAGTGGTGGCTGGGAAGACATTAACACCTACTGACAGGGAGACTCTCCTTTCCACTAGTTCACATAACAAATAGACTCTGAAATTTCAGGGCATCCTTTTTTCCCCCCTATGTTAACATAGAGATAACTCCATCAGATGCAGGTCTTCTACTGCTAATATTCAGGTATGGTTTCTGTGGTTATTCTGCTAGCTGGCTGTTAAAAATACAGAGACACACTTTTACAGTGAATTGGCAAACTTTCATCTTATAAGTTTAAGCCAATGTTTCAGCATTTGTGCAAGTGTATGCAAATGCAAAAAAGGACATATATATAGTTTTTGTAAACATTGCTTAGTTGATTTGTATTGAGATTTTTTTGATTTAGTGGCTATGTGGGGAAAAAAGACTTTTTGGATTATTTTATTTTACATCTAGATTTGTGTTCTAAAGGTGGGGTTTTGGTGGGGTTTTTTTTGTTTGTTTTGGTTTTTTTTAACATATGGACGCTTGTAGATGTAAATATTTGCTCTTTCTTGTCATATGCTACATTCCCATACTTATGGAAGAATTTTTCCTCTGTATATATTTGGAGGGGAAAAGTTTACGAAGTACACATGTACTCAAGAGTGTACACAGTTGTTTGTTTAAATAAGGTTAAATCTTTTGGAAATTGTTGCTGAAGCAGAAAGTCTCAGCTCACTGACATCACGTAACACTAGCAGCGAGTGCCAGTTCAGGAATGCCAGTAAGCTTTCAGGTGTATTGTGGATATTGGGCTTTGGTCTTGATAGTTGGTATTATTAAAGTGGCTGACAGTTCTTGGTATACTTACCTTCTTCATGTTTTTATAACTGTCTACACATGAAGCTTTCTCTTCATCCTCCCAGTGCTTATTCCAGTCAAAATGCACTTCTGAAATATATGGAGTTATAGAGACATGGTACAACAAGGAAAGTTTCCTGTGCTCTTTATTTGTGTTGCCAAAATTCTTGAAAACTTCTATGCTTTGGGATTTCAGTACACAAAAGGTCACAGTATTTAAATTTCTCTGCTACTGAATGAAAACAGTGACTAAAGCACTTACACTGGGATTTTCAGAGGATCCTACAACACTCAATAGTTTGGATCACTTCTTACCTTTGTTAGGGTTTTTTGGTGGCAGTCAGCACTGTCATGCTGAGCCTCAAAGCCCCTCCTGAACTATGTTCTTGATGAAGAATTCCTGAATTAAAAACTGGATTCTTCTCTTGATCTGTCATCATCCAAACTTTACAGCCTCTAAACTGTCTGTATCTTCACTTTACTTGAGACGGAATTCTATCCTTTTAAAATGCTGTGGGAGCTAATATGCATGTCTTGAACGCACAACATTTAATGATTAACCTTGCTTAGTTTTGATGATGGTAGATGATGCCCATGTGTATTCTTTAAGACCTGTTTAATTTAGCTGTTTTTCTGCAGTGCCTACCTAAATGGAGGGATATGTATGAGTGCAAATGAATGCATGTACTTTTTTTTTTTTTTTTTAAATTAACTGAGTTTTGGAAAAACATGATTTTTTTTTTTTTTCCTGTTTGTTTTTTAATTATTCTCTTCCCCTTTTAATTTGTCTTTATTTAGATCGTACCTGTAAAGTCTGGAATCTGGTAACTGGACAAGAGATTATGTCTCTAGGGGGTCATCCAAATAATGTTGTTTCCATAAAATACTGCAACTACACTAGCCTGGTGTTCACAGTCTCGACCTCCTATATCAAGGTGTGGGACATCAGAGATTCGGCTAAGTGTATTCGGACATTGACGTAAGTATACTAAACCTCAAATGCCAAGAGTTTAAATGAGTTTTAATTTTAGATAAATTTTATTATATTTAATTCAATAGTGCAGTACAGTGTAATTCAAGTACACTGTTTTCTGGGGCTGGAAGCTTTCCTTATGTGTTCAGGCTAAGTCGGTATGGGGTACTGGTAATATGTGGAAACACAAACCAATTTGCATTCATGCCTATAGTGTTTTATCAAATGTTCAGTATTCATAACTGGCTTATAGTCTTTTTGCTCAGGTAAACAGGTTTGGTTTTAAACAGTGTGCAAAGTAGGGAGAACATAATGTAGAGTTTGTTTTTGGGTTTGGTTTTTTTTTTTTTTTTTTTTTCCTTTTCCTGCTCCTTCCTCCTTGTACTCAGGTCTTCAGGCCAAGCGATGCCTGGTGATGTGTGTTCAGGAAGTACTAACAGAACAGTCACTATCCCAGCTGGAGAGAACCAGATCAATCAGATTGCACTAAATCCAACTGGCACATTCCTCTATGCAGCTGCTGGAAACTCAGTGAGGATGTGGGACCTGAAAAGGTACTGAACACCAGTAGAAGAGAATGTTGTTTAGGTGCTTACATGTGCATATGAAACAAAGTGTTTCCTGTTTATGGTAATGTCCATAACCTGGGCAAAATATGAGGAAGATATGTATCAAATAATCCATACTGTGGTGGTTACTGAGATAATGGAGGTGCTCATGATTTCCTCATGTGTTAAGGTTATGGTGAATTTTTTTCAGTAAAAATGATTGGAAAAACCCAAGGTTTTGTTTAAGACAGGCATTGTAAAACAGACTCTTTTAAGGTGACGGATGCATGAATCCTGACTAGTAAGTGTTGATGAAATGATGAAAACCAATTGATATAATGTAATATAATGTGGGACTGCAATAGTCACACTGTAATAGCACTTTTCCAAACAGAACCTGCACCCAAAGAGTGTGTTCAAAATACAGATGTACTTTGAGGGGTCTGATTTGTCTTTATCTTTAAATTTTTTAATTCTCATTTTACATAAATAGAAACTTTTGTTTACTTTTAACATTTACACTCTATTGCTCATATCCATGGATATGTAAACCAGAGGATGAATAGTGAAGACATAGGGGAAAATAAAAAGATCCATTCTGGCAGAAACTGTGCTACAAACTGTATTGGATATATGGAAAAATAACAAACCTTCATTTCTTCTCTTATTCTCGAAGATTTCAGTCTACAGGAAAGCTAACTGGTCACCAGGGTCCTGTAATGTGCCTTACTGTAGATCGAATTTCCAATGGACAAGATCTTATTGTCACTGGTTCAAAGGATCATTATATAAAGGTAAACCATTAGTATTTGCTTATTTATTTTAACTCTTTACATCAGCATGGGATGCAGGCTTCAGCAGAAGCGACTTACATCTCCATATCTGAAATGTGATACCCAAGATGGAAATTCTTTCATCAGTTATAGATTATGAATAATGTTCAGTCTTAATAAATGCTTATCACTTCAGTGCTATTTTTATTTCATGATGGAACATGGATGGATGGTTGCCCAGCCTATTTGGTGTATTCATTAGCACACAGGTTGCTCTGAGTTGTGTTCAAAGCACAGCCAGTGGTGTTACAATACTATCCTGCTTCTTGGCATTGTGATTAATTCACTCAAGGATAGGGAATTTTTTCTTTTTTTTTGGTGGGGGGGGGGATGGGGGGGGGGGGGGGTTTTTGTTT